AATCTCAAGCTACCTATTCTGAAGGCTATTATCGACAGCATTCAGCATGAAAAATAATATCCATATTTCCGACTTCAATGTGAAGTCAGTGCTAGTGTATGGATCAGAGACTTGGCGCCGCGTCAAGAAGGGCATTTCGAACAAACTACAGACCTTCATCAACAGGTCTCTTCGCTCAATACTAATCAAGATCAGATGGCCAGAAAACACCAGCAACAGGGATCTCTGGCAATGAACGAACCAACCCAGTAGGATCCGATGGTGCAAGAAATATGCAGGAAGAAATGGAAGTGGATTGACAATACTGTGAGAAACCTAACTATCAAGTGAGTGACATCACACGCCAAGCCATCGCTTGAGTGGAACCCGAATGGGAAGCGGTGAGTTGGTCGTCAGTGCGAGGGTGACATGAAGGAGGTCATGTGAAGAGGAGATGAAAGCATGTGAGCAGACGTAGAGCCGGGTGGTGAAAATGTTGGTGGAGAACCAAAGGCAATGGAGACGTGTGGCTGAAGCCCTATGTTCATCTAGAAAATAAAGGAGACAATAATAATAATTATAGACAGAAAGTTTGATACATATTGCAGGCTGTGTGAACTTATATACTGTTGCAAGGGATTGAAGAAATATAGCTTCCAGCTGAAGTTTATTATTATTCCCTTGGGTTCCTAGTAGAACATAGGGCTTCAACTACACGCCTCCACTTGCTTCTGTCTTCTGCTGTATTTTTCACTTGCATCCATGTTAATCCATACTGTTTCAACTCCTCTTCACACGATCTCCTCCATGTCACCCTTGCACCGACGAACCACTCGCCGCTTCCCTTTCGGGTCCCTTTCGAGCACTGGCCTGACGCGCGATGTCACCCAACGGCATCCTCAGAGAGTGTCCAATCGATCTCCACTTTCTCCTGCATTTTTGTTGGGCGATTGGTTCTTGTTTTGTTTGTTCCCACAGTTTCTTGTTGGTGATTCTTTCCGGCCATGTAATCTTCAGTAAAGAGCGAAGACAGTTGTTGATATGAAGGTCTGCAACAGGCTGTTGGAAATATTCTTTGTGACCCGCCAAGTTTCTGATCCGTAAAGCAAAATTGACTTGACGTTTGTATTGAAAATCGGAATTTTGTTGTTGATGGTGAGTGACGAAGATTTCCAGATTGGTTTCAGGTTGATGAATGTGTTTCTCGCCTTCCCGATTCTCGATTTGACACCCTCCTCCGTTCCCCCTGTAGTTGAGACAATGCTCTGTAGATAAGTGAATGAAGTAACCTCTTTCATCAAATCCCTCCCGTCGATGGTGATTGGCGCTGGATGTTGCTGCTTCTGTTGTTGTTGTTGGTTGGTTATTTTCATAATCTCTGTCTTGTCTATGTTCACCTGGAGTCCTGTCTTTGCTGCCAGTCTCTTCGACGAGTTTGTCGGTTTTCGCTTGTAAGTCTTCGATTTTGTGTGGCATCAAACATAAATCATCCACGTGCGAAATCCAGGCCTTCTAGGTTCTTCACGTCGGTCCAGGATATCCCTGTCTTCTCGTTTCCCACTGTCTGACGCATAATCCAGTCCACCACAATTAGGAATATCATTGGTGATAATAAGCACCCTTGTCTGACTCTTGTGTTTACTCCAAACGCCTCGCTGAGTTTTCCGTTGTGGGTCACTTGACATGTGCCGTTGTCGTACAGCTGTTGAATACTATACTACATTTTTTTACAGCTATCCTCAGTAATCCGATAATACTGATACCATAGTGTATTTACTGTCCATGGGAATGCTAGTTAGGGGCATGAATGCTGAAGTCATTCTGGGGAATAAAAATATGTAAGGCATTTATGAGGGTTTAAGCATAACCATAAGAATTCATATAATGAAGAGTTTGCATCTAATAATAAGAGAAACTAGATAATAATGTGAGGGAATAAGATCTAGGAAAAGTTACAGACAGGTTAGTTAAATCACTCATCGGTGACTTGTCAGCGAATTTCATAAATTTATATTCAACAGAACTACAAATAATTCATATATCACAGAATTAAGCTGGTTGGTCAGCAGCACTAAGAGAAAACTCATTTTGAGTAGTTGAATCATACACAGTTATTGTTATATACTTCTTCCCAATTATGAAAATCCAGGCTAAAAATTAGTATTTGTGCATAAATAAGAAAACAATGAAAATTTGTATTGGTTCAAATGAATGCGGTAACAATGTCGTGCATCATGACTACAATTGGCAACTAAAGCAGGACTGTCTGCAGGTAAAAGAGACTTCACAACACAGCTTCTAACAACAAAGTCGTTATCCGGGAAAGACTGACCACGATCTACATTTCGTCCGGAAGTACCATCGGCAGGCTCAGAACTACCAATGGACATCGATCTCCCAACACAAACAGAAGGTCTAATGATAAGAAATTGACAAAAATCCGAAAAATCAGCAGGAATGGATGAAATCCCTTGGAAGCACTGAAAATGAACCCAGGGAGGTCAGTGGACATGCTCACACTGCTACTGTCGAAGATGTTGAAGGAAAGAAAGGTACCTGTTGATAGGAAGGAAGGCTACTGCGTCAAACTATCAAAGGAGGGCAAGAAGTTGCTCAAAGTCTTATTCCTGTCCACCACAGGCCATAAAGGAAGCTCTATCACCCTGGAGAGACTTAAAGATGCTCTGGGGGAAGGAAATTATCCAGAACATTCTGAACTCAGGAATGATAAGTCGTGGGCAGAACACGTTGCAACACTACGCATCACCATCATCAAACACAACTTAGAATTGCAGTGGGATCTCTAACTCGACCTCACTGACGTCGTAAAAGTCTTCCACACTACTAGCCACGAAGTGTTTTGGAAACTGCTTCAACTCCAAGGGACATCTCCACACCCTTGCCTACCTCACTTAGCAGCTATATGGCAATATCACCTAACAAGTGATCCAACCAAGCGTCTGAACTGAATGCAGGACAAAACTGCCTACATTCCTGTTTGGAGTGGAATGGATTCTGTAGCATGTTGTGGGGAGCGAGAAGACAGAGATTAGATAGGGCCTCAGAAGATCTGAATTTCGCAGTTGATTTATTTCTAATGTAACACAAACTCTAATATCGGCAGATGACAACCAACAATTCAGTAGAAGAGGCAGACAGCGAAGATGGGACTTCAAGTGAATAAAAGGAAGAGAGAGGTGATGAAGATACTCAGGCGAAAACATCAACGGGCACCAATCACTATCGACGACAGAAATTTAAAGGAAGTCAATTCTTCCACTTATCTAGGTAGCAATGTTTCAATTACAGGCCGTCGGCACGGATGAAGATGTCAAAGTCAGGCGGGATCGGAAATGTATGATAGACCACCATCAATCCGAAATCAATGTGGAAATCTGCTGCACTAAGCACAAAGAATAAAAATTTGGATTTTTCAACACCAATTTCAAATCAATTCTTCTATGTGGTTCAGAGACTGGACGTTTCATCCAAAAGTATTTCAAACAGACTTGAGACTTTCTTCAGTAGCTGTCTTCACTCCACGGCAAAGATCAGATTACTGGAAAAAAATAAGCAACAAGTAAATCTGGCAGACAACAAACCGACCAGGAAACTATTGCCCGACAAATATTCAGAAGAAAGTGGAGACTGATTAGATACACGGTGAGGAGACTGTTGAGTGGTATTACACATCATGTCCTGAAGTGAAACTCAAGTGGGAAACGACGAGTTGGGCTCAGGTCCGAGAGTGACATGTAGGAGATCGTGTGAAGAGGAGATGAGAGCTAATGGGCAATCGTTGAGCCAGCTAAAGAAGACAGAAGAGAACAGGATAAAATGGAGATGTGCTGTCAAAGCCCGATGTTTCACTTATAACCTATTTTTCTATTCCTTTACGTTCTCAGTGGAACATAGGGCTTCAAGCTGCAGGCTTGAAGTTTCTGTAGCGGTGTCTTTTTTCACAAGATGAAGTTGCTAGCCTCATGCGCAACCTTCCCTCTTTACCAGTCTTATTACTGGCTTAGTGAGGTAAATGAGTGCGTCGGCTGGGGCTCAAACCCCGGACCATATGCGTCGTCGGTGAGCATTCTACCGCTGTGCCACCGACGCACTCATAACCTAAGGGAACAATAATAATTAGTAAATTCAAGCTACCGGAAGTTTTGACATCACCTTCAGTCTACTAGAATTGAACAGAACCGTATTAGAAAGGTGTCCACTGATTCCTAGCGAGGTAATTAAAATTCTGTTTAGAAGCCGACTACTTTACATTCAACGGGCATTTATGTAGACAGGCAAATGGTGTAGCCTTGGGTTCCTCAGCTTGACCAATAGTTGTTAACTTGTTCAGGAATAAATTTGATAGTTACACATTCTCAAACATACAGTAAAAAATATGGCTCAGATTTATTGATGATATATATCTTCGTAGTATTGAAACGAAACCTACACAGTTCATTCTTGGAGAAATTGAACAATCAATCTCTCAGCATTACGTTTACTTCGGAAGCAGAGTCAAACATTCATGAGTCACCTTCTTCTAGACTGTTTTCAGATACCCAAATCTCGTCGTCTCCAGTTCGGGTTAAATTTGAGGGCCTAGTGTGTCATGTTGATTGAAGATATCCTCAACTCATAGTTCACTAGCCGGTCTTAAGTCTCGAAGGAGCAGACAGAGAGGGTTTACATGGGACTGGTGACCCTGTAAAAATATGCCGTCATTTCTGCAGAAAGTTCACAGCAGAGAAACATATAAACTAAACACAAGGTAAACAGATGAAAATAAGAGAAAACAATTACTTCATTAGGTTGAAATTTCATTTTTTTCTTTCTATCTATAAACTGAAATTTTTCTGTTCTTTTTATGCTTTATATAATTTTTCGTAGTCAAAACGAAAAAATTGGTTCAGAGGTGCATTGTATGTGTCAAGGCTCAAGAATACAAGTTTATCAGTGTGTTGTTCGATCATAAAGCGATGTCAAACTTAATTAATTCGCCTTTTGTTTATCCCGATATCATTTCAGTTTGTTTCAGTTTTATGAAATGAATCACGTAGCTGAGGTGAACCTGATCCATCAGTGTTTGGAGTTGTAGCTGGAGCAGTTCCACTTGCAGGTACAGAGCCAGAACCAGAAGCACCAGTACCGCCAGCACTACTAGTAGCACCTGTTGCTCGTGTTCTTGGCATTCTTGAGCGTACAACAACTGGTGTTTGACCAGTTTCAATGCGTACCATTTCATCATTAACTAGACGTTGAAAATCACTCCATGTTTTGTCATTTAATAATCGACGCCATTTATTAAATAGCGAATTGAGATAGTCAATCTTTTGACTTGCATCACTTCTGTTAATTTATAATAAACATTTTTTAGAAGGGAAAGATAAAAAAATGCGAAATTAATGGAAGAAAAATCATATCTTATGAAAATAACTAAAATGCATAAGCTAATTTCCATGAAGACAATCAGATCAAAAACATTTTTACCAAGACTGATTCATTTTTCAATTAATTTGGGAGTTTGTTTTAATTAACTTAATCAGGAATACGTGGGACCGATAAGAAGACTCTCAAGATCTGGATTTCGCGTGTGGATGATTTATGTTTAGTGTAACACAAGCTCGAAGAATTACAGGTGAAAACCAACAAACTGGCTGAAGAGGCTGGCAGCGAAGGCAGGACTGCAGGAGAACATAGAGAAGACGGAGGTGATGAAGATAAACAACCACAACAAAACAGTGACAACAACCAGCACCAGTCACCATCAACGGGAGAGATTTGAAAGAGGTTACCTCTTTCACTGATCTGGCAAGGAAGCACGGTTTCAACCACAGCCCGGCGGAATGAATGAAGATGTCAATGCCAGCCAGGCAGAATCGAAAAGGTAAGATACACCTTCATCAATCTGAACTCAGTTTGGAGATCTTCTGAACTCGCCAGTATAATGAACAAGATTCGTATTTTCAACACAAATGTCAAGTCGGTCAGTTCTTCTATATGGGTCAGAAGCTTGCACTGCGTGTCACGAAAAGCAATTCCAACAGGCTACTGCAGACTTTTATCAACATCTGCCTTCACTGGCTCTGTAGTGATGATCAAATAGTCAGAACGAATCAGCAGCAAGAAACTCTGGCGGGCGATGAACCAACCAAGAGCCAAGTGCTCAACAAATATGTGGGAGAAGATGGAGATGGATTGATCGGGCATACGTTGAAGAGGTCGTTGAATGACATCACGCGCCGGCCAGGCCATTGCTCGGTTGGAAGCAGAATAGGAAACGTCGAGTTTGGCTTGTGTCTGAGGATGACATGGAGGAAATGGTGTGCCGAGGAGCAAATGAGAGCGAATGGGCAATTATGGGCCCGGCCGAAAAGGACAGCAGAGAATAGGACAAGTTGGAGACATGTTATTGAAGCCCTACGTTCCACTCGAAACCCAGGGGATGAATAATAATAATAATAATAACTGGAAAGAATATTTGTCTCAAAATGTGCCACAGAATTCATCTCAAGAAAATAGGATTTGTTAGAATTTAGATTAATTTCAATTTCACTGCTTAGATTTCATCTTGAACTAAAGTTATTTGGAGATCATAGAAAACCAGGAAGCACGGACAGTTGCTTGACTCTTCAGCAGTGCGCATCCCTGACCTCACCATGGATCTAACCCGGAAATTTCAGACTACGAAACCAAGCTCGGTGCCCATTCAGATACTTTGGCCAGAATTGAGTGATCGTTGAATTGTAACTTAGCCACTTAGTGATTTTGCCTTGGATGAGCATCCACTTTACCGTCGCATGGTGGATCCCACCCACCTTGCACGACGTCTCGTTGAGGTTTCCGGGCATCCCAGTGAAACGATCGAAGACGAGGACTTCGTATCTTTATATAGCTAAATAATGTAGACCTTTTCGTCAAAGCACCATTTGTACAGACCTCCGTGTTGTGGTACTCCTGGACTTCTTAAAAACCATATATATACGATTGTACAGCTTGATGATAAATTCGCTGAAAAGAGTCTCTTCGCTGAATCATTTGTTTTGATTTTCTACATTTAAATTGGTTAATTTTCTTGACGATATTAATATTATGGATAAGAATATGCACTCTTTTGATGTAAACTCGTTATTCACTAATGTGCCTTTGCTCAAAACAGCTGACATTCTGTGTGACTACATTTCCACAAACAATTTTGTCATCCCGTTCCCTATATGTTATTTATGGGATTTATTGCTTCTATGTACTAACAATGTTAAGTTTACATTTGAAGGCGATGTTTTCCGTCACGTTGATGGTGTTGCTATGGGAATAGCATATCACTTACCTCTGTAGAAGAGGAAGATAACTGTTTATCTTCCCTTGACATATTGCTTAGTCGACAGCTTGATGGGTCAATAAAAAGATATATTTTTAGAAAACGTAACTCGGCAGGATAGTATCTTGACTATCACAGTTTCTGCTCTGTTCGGTACAAAAGAGTCTTAGTAAGATGCCTCTTCAGTAGAATCCAACGAATATGCACTGAAGACACACTTGATGCGGAAGAAGGAAAGTTGACACAAACTCTGGTTGATAACAATTATCTAGACAAGTTCATCAAGAGATATAAAGTAGTCAGCACACCAAGACCGACTCTCCAACTCGTCCCTAAGAAAGACGTGTACATCAAGCTACCCTATATGGGGCATCATAGCAGCTTGATAACTAGACAAAGATTGAACGCTGCTGTTAAAAAGACTTTTTATGCAGCTAATATCATAATAATAGAGAATGCGAAGCCAATATATCCATCTAAGCCCTTAGAACATGCGAAAAATGATGTCACATCCCACTGTATTTACCTATTTGAATGTGTTTGCGGACACACATGCATAGGGAGGACTCATCGATCTCTGCGAGTAAGGGCTGGCTTCAGAGCATATTCCTAAATGGCTCCAGAAACAAATAGAATCTTCACAACCCATTAATGGTAAGAACAGGAGACCTAGCTCCTCTATTCCTAAACATATTATAGATGGGACTAGACATAAAATTGATGTTTCCACACGTCTTTTAAACCTGTCCATCCATAAAACGTTTTTGGGAGAGGGCGTATCCTAAAGTTTGTGGAAGCCCTAACTGGCAATTAGAAAGTTTAAACCACCTTTATGCGTTCAAAGCAACAATTCGTCATCACACTAAACCTTCCTTAGTAAACTTTGTTTTGATACCATAGCATACTATTACCTCTGTTATTTGGTTTAGTGATCTTAATTTTTATTTTGACCTTCAATATGTCCTATTAAATTGACCTCTTAACTCTTTATTAATTTCATATATATTCCTATGACAAGTCCGTGTGTGATCAGATTGTTAGAAATAAGTGTTGCACAAATACATACGATACACGATTCAGACAAATTACGTTTTCTTATTTCTTTGTCTAACTAAATTCATAGAGGGAACTAAGTGTTTTAAATTTAGTTTACTCTGTAATAATTTCTGGGTGAATTGTGAATTCATTATTCAATCAGAACAATAAGATGAGATTCTAACTCCCATCATAGAAAATTGGATTCCTATGCATTAGCTGAATGATAATTTGACAGCTGCATGATCTTAACCTGACAACTATGATCCGTTGTGGGTTTTGTGGATGCGTACTGATGAAGAGTACCAAATTAGGGCGAGACAACTGTCAGTTAGTTAAAAAAATGTAAAATGTAAAGAAATTTCACTTTGATTGATACTTACTTTGTTCCTAGAACACGTGTAGCATGTGTAACTTGTATGTAGTAAAGATCACGATATGTGTTCAGTGTAACACAGTGTTCTTGTAATAAACTATTGTTTATAAAATGATGATAATAAAAGGGAATGAAACGATTATACATGGAAAGATGTGCATTACAAAAAGACAATTTTAGATAATAATCAGAAATATTAAGATAATTAGAATGGGATTTATGTGAATAAGGGTATTCACTTTTTCGTCTGTCATAAAAGTCTTGGGGGTACAGTATTATTATATTGATTATTTTTATTCCATAATTTATGATACCCCTTCAAGAGAACTATACCTAGTGATATACTTAGTGGCTGGTCGATTTGATCTGCAGCGGCAAATAATTCCCAAAAATTATTTGACTACAGCATTTTTGATAGGACAGTAGTTAGTAACTAGTGCAGTGTGTCTAGTCCTCTGTTTGGTGCAGAATGAAGTTTATCAATCACCTTTGCAATGTAGCCACCATGCTAGGTGGTGCGCCAACACGTTTCACTGTGAATTGTTCTTATTCAGTGGTTGGAGGCAATCGTCAGGAAGCCTTAGAGTTTGGTTTCGTGCTAGTTGGCACTCACCAGTAGACAAGACGTATCTGCAGCCTTAAAGCATGGTTGTCACATTGCAAAGGTGATTGATAAACTTCATTCTGCATCAAACAAAAGACTATACACATTACACTAGTCACTCAGCAGCGTCCGATTAAAATATCCAATACAGTCCCGAAGGGAGGTCAGTTGCGAGTCATCCCGAATAGTTCGGTGGTAACGCCTCTGACTGCAGCACTGGCTGATGCGAATTAGAATCTCAGAAAGGAAACAAGTTCTTTCAAGGTTGCACACACGCCTTGCTGACTGGTGAAAGCCAACTAGCATGAAACCTAGGTCCAAGGATTTCTGTGGCCGATTCCCTCTAACCGTCTAAGAATATAGGATTATTTACTCGACCGTGGATGCTGGCCTTCACTGGTTAAATTGACCTGTTATGCTGAAGATACATGGTTATGTGTCCACGCCACCTGGTACCTTGTCGTATTATGCTCGGTAGTTCGGACATGAACCCCAACTAGTTAAGAAGTTATCATCGTTCGATGTTTCCGATCCCAAAATACATATATCATGATTTGGACAGTCAGTGTGTTGTTTTGATTTACCTTTAACATTAGTAGAAAAAGCATTCTAATAACTGCATGATAGAAACTTACGTTTGCATACAACACATGTCTTGTAAACGTCGGCATCCTTTATCCCATGAAGATCTACTGAACTAGTTTTCGATACCTCAGAATTGCAACTCATCTACTCAACTTGATCTAAACTGACACAATGCACCAAATATAGGCTATCAATCATGGCCTCATCAATGTGTGTATACAAATTCAACTGCTCCTAGGGAATTAGTTATGTAGATCGTACTCTTTATGAACTCGTGAACGTGTTCCAATTTAGCTTGAGAAAGGAGTAAGGTAATCAATAGACACTGCCAACTAATCTCATTTAGCAGGTAATGAACACCGCATCAAAATAGATGAGTCATTTATGGTTGTGTATCGATTACCAAATAGTCTGCCTAAAAGTATGTGGTTACGTCTCCTAGCCACAGTTGAAGATGTAGGGATCAATAAGAATAAACGTAACTTATGTGGGCTAAAACAGTACACTCATTCCTTTCGTTTACTGTGGTTCACAACACAGTCACTAGTGACGTAATCACCTCATATTTTCATGTCTTATAATGCACTTCTTACTCCCTTTTACCTAGTATACTTCATAACATTATTATTATTTGTCGACTAAGCTTATCTTGTCTCAGTTATCTGATTACAGTTTACTATTTGATAACTTTATTTTATCATTATATTTTTTATTTGAAGATTTGCCAGACAAACGACAAAAGCAAACCAGTCATTATCAAAGCAAGAAGAGATTTTCAATTTTTGACGACCAAACACAGACATGAAGTGGAGCTCCATTGGAATGCACTATGCAGTCAAGCTCATGTTCAAAGAGAAGACGAAACAGGTATTCTGCTGTAAATCCTCTCAAAATTTTAACCGTGGTATCAAGTGATACTGTTTTCAACAGTTTACAAGTATATGTCTACACTCACGCGCATTGCGATAACCAATCAATCTTTGCATATTATGGTAACTGAGAATATACCTAACTATAGATATGATGGAGAAGATTTGTAGCTCAGATGGGTGATTTTGATACACTTGTGTTCTCTGAGCTGGATAGTTCATTTGCGAAGCTTTCAATTGTCCTACCAGCCAGCATTTTCAGCGCATACTTCAGTCTGAAGTGAACTTTTAGATTTCTCCACTAGTTAATTGGTCATCTCTCCTGGTGGCCTTGAACGTGACTGGTTGTTTTCGTGTATTTTCACACCCTCTAGGATACCAATAAAAGTAGCCACATTCTTTCATCTCCTCTTCGCATCACCTCCTTCATGTCACCCTCGCACTGACGACCAGCTCGACACTTCCCGTTCGAGTTCCACTCAAGCAATGGCCTGGCGTGTGATTTCACTCACTTGATGGTTTTCTCAGAGTATGGCCAATCTACCTCCACTTCTTCCTGCATATTTGGTGCACAATTGGTTCCTGATGGGTTGGTTTGCTCCCAGAGATTCCTGTTGCTGATGTTTTTTGGCTGGCCATCTGATCTTGAGTATTATTGAGCGAAGACAGCTGTTGATGAAGGTCTGTAGTTTGTTCGAAGCGGCCTTCGTGACACGCCAAGTCTCTGATCCATATAGTTGTAGCAGTGCCTTCATAGTGGAGTTGAAAATCTGGACCTTATTTTTCATGCTGAGTGCTGTTGATCTCCACACAGACTTGAAAGAAATGAAAGCTTGCCTTGCTTTCTGAATCCTCACTTTGATATCCTCATCAGTTCTGACCGCCTGTATTTGAAACGATGCTTCCCGGGTAGGTAGGTAAAGGAGGTCGCTTGTTTCAGATTTCTCCCATTTATGGTGATTGTTGTCTGTTGTTGTTGTTGCTGTCGCTGTTGTCCAAGAATCTTCTTCTTCATCTCTTCTTTTACCTGTGGTTGTGTGACCCCGGAATTGACAGTTTAACTCTTATTTTTCGGAATTTCGACCTTTTGTAATCTGTGAATTAAGAACATCGTTATGGATGAAGAGATGAGTAAAAAAGATAGGCACCAAGGAACTCTGATAGCAAACCGACCAACCAAGCAACCCAACAAATATGCTCAAAGAAAAGGAGATGAATTAGACATATACTCAGGTGGTATACCAATGACATCATACACTAGGTCAACCAGTGCAACTCAAATGAGACCATTAAGGCATCCGTAGGTAAAGTGGAATAGACCAAGTGAGGAGAAAATGGAGGCTCTTTAACAGTTGTAGAACCAGCTACAATGGAAATTAGAGGGCAGAGTCCAATGGAGATCTGCTGCTGGGGCCCTGTTTTCCATTCAGTAAACAATGATTGAGAAGTGTATATAAACGTCTCGCTCCATTACATTAAACATGTTAGATAAATTATGTCTTCTCATAGTCTTGTCAAAACATACACTAAAGAAAATAATTACTTTGAATAGCTGTTGCACAAGATGCGACTACTATGGCTGAGTAGCCTTCGAGAATTGAAATATTCTGAGTTTTAGTTTCAGTAGATTATATAGTATATCCAGCTAACGAGTCCCACATATACTACATTTCACTACTAGCTATTGTCGTATAAGCAAACTAATTCATAGAATTGAGAAACAATAAGAATTAAAGCCTTAATAACTTACTCATAACGAATTTGTATACTTTCAAGTTCTTCTTTCAATTTTGCTGTTTCTTCAATTTTACTTAATAAATTATTTTTTACATCATCATATTTTGTTCTTGGTACTTGTGATTCATATTCACTTTCATATTCTGTAACACGTACTTGTAAATTATTTATAGTTTTATATGCTTGACTAAAACAAAGGGAAACATGCAAAATGGTTACCTCACAGAAATAAGAAATGAGAAAACGTGTAGTATAAAAGATGTGAACATTTCATGTCGTGGTTTCTTTTCAGGTGTATGCAGCTTAAAATGTGCTATGAGGAAATAGAATACTTTTTTTTTAATTTTCAAGTAATGGTTTACAAGGATCACTGGCTGACATTTGTCAAAGAACCACTGAAAAATCAGTGAGTACTGGGCAGCTGTTTCGTCCCAGTTTGAGACTTCATCAGCGCACCATCCCCCAGGGTCGAACTCAGTACCTTCCACTTACAAGCCATTCAGCTGTTGAGAAGAAGCTAAGCATAAAGGTAGTCATTTAAGGAAACAGCAAAGGTGCAGTGTGGTTACATGAACATTAAAACTGACATGAAAAGGAGCTAGTTATTCATAATAACGTCGGAGGAAGACTGACAACAAACGACTGTTTACCTCGCAACATACAGAAAGACGTTTACGCAATAATGCACAAGAGACTGCTTAGAATTTATCTGAAACATGCCAGGTAAGTTGAGGTGAGTGGGTCGAATAAGCAGCAATAGTCATATCAGGAAATAGAATGTGTAATTGTGTAATGGGCGGGATAATTGTTACCAGAATAAGTTGAGAACAATCACGGCTTTTGTATACACATTTGTGATTTAAGTAGTCTGATAGCAATAGATTCAGCTTAGCGAGGTAAATTTGAGTTTGTTTACATGTCAGTAATGTTATGGCATGTGCTGCTGACAAGATTTTTCAGCAATTTGTAGACTCAGAATGTTAAGCGGTAACCGAGATTGAAAACAACATTTTAAGTCGGTGACTACAGAAGTAAAAGCTTTCATTTTTCAAATTTGGATACACCTCACGTTGTGGTCTTGATAATAACCCCAAGCTTCAACCTTCAAAAAAAGCAGCCAATCAGAACAGTTTATCATCCTCTGACCTAGCCAACGGTAAATGTAGCTAAAATGTATAGATATGGTGTGACTTTCGTCAACAGAAAAAAGTTCGTTGTTTTTCAACATCTTTTCGAGAGTCAGAAGTTCTTCCTATCATTTCTCTGTGGAGCCTATTTTTCTGACTCTCTAGAAGAGTTTTTACTAGTGTTCGTTTACAGCATAACGGTTACCCTAAGAGGTTCATTTACAAGTACGGAAGATGTGAAGGCTCTAATGACAAAAAATCACAGTCAGAAAAAAGCCTATCTTCACTCAACTTGATTTTGAAGGTGATAGTATTTTTTTGGGATTATAGCTTGATTCCACACAGTATTATTGGTACAAGTATTGAATTTTCAGCATGTGATATCGGTAGCACGAATTTCGCAGGCCGAACAATTGATATCAGGTGTGCCTCAGTGGGGAATCGAACCCCGAACCATGTGCATGGTCGGCGAGAGTCCTAACTGGTGTGCCACTGACGCACTGGAATGGTCAATAGAAGATTGAATGTGTCACTAGCCGAGGCTTATTCTGTAGCTAATTTGGTTCCCGTCTATCGGACAATATATTGTTTAGTGTAGTAAATAGTAGACAGATACCCTTCGCATGTCAACTCCAACTGTGTATACAAATTCACATGTATCTGCAGGAGCAGTTACATTGAGAGGACAGAAAGAAGGACATGTCTTCTATTTTCTGAACTTATGCGAAAACGCCTATGTTTCAAAGGAACAAATGCTTTCAACAGTGTCTTTGCCAGGAATCTCCCTGACACGGGTCATGAGGCGGAAATCGCAAGATCGTTCAAAATTATCAGCAGACAAAAGAGTTCAATTCTTCTCAAGTTTGCCGATGCATTCCCCATCAAACGCCTGAAACCAAATTTATGCGTTCGGAAAGAAGCAGTTATCAGTCTTTCCTTGCCCTGATAACTGGATATTTTCACTCTCTCTTTCATTTGATTAGGTTACGCCAAAAATTCTATTGTGTTTCATTGTTGTTTGGGATGAAGTGATCATTATTATTATTACCAATGTATGAACTGATGTTTTGTTTAAAAGTGAACTCTGTGTAGGAATGTTAAAATTGTTTCTGTACATAAACTTAGTAATGCCTTAGGGCTGTAAGCAGCTGATGAGATGCCAACGAAATAAATGATGGTACCATTTTATTCTGCACAAATTGCTGTCCTTGCTTAATTCAAATTCATAAGGGAAAATAAACGTATAAAATGAAATATAAGATGGCTCTGTGGTGGAAGATGACTATTTGGTGTAAAAGGAGGTGACTGGAGATGAAATGAAAACCTGAATCTCTGTAGATTACGTACCACCGGCCTCCTCAATACTAGTCTAACTGTCTTTCTTTTGCATTTCTAGCGGAACAAAGGGCTTCAACGTTTTACCTCTAAAGTTTCAACATCGATAATGTTTTTCTTACAGAGGTGAGTTGTTAGCCTCATTCTTAACCTTCTCTCCTTTTTCTCAGTTTACTACCAACTCCTGTAGCATCATATTACATTTGAGAGGAGCGTGTAAATTGCATGCCAAATACACGAAGATTGCTGCTCAGCTCAAGGTACTCAGAAGACTCTGCATTTTATCAGCGTATTCACCTAAGAGGAAAATATCATCCTCATATACTAAGTCAACAGGATTACTGCCTGGTAGTAAGTCAATCCCTGAATCAGTGAATTCAGTAAGGATTAGGTTCATTAGTACATCGATGATGAAATTAAACAAAAATGGGGATACTAAACGACTGTCTCGCTAGTTTCTGGGTGAGTTCACTAGAAGTAAACTCTAGTTTGACTCAATTCAGAAAGCTGAATTATTTCATTCCCGGTTGATATAAGCATTATCCTTCAACACACACCAATTGATCAGTGGTATACAGCATCATTCATTTCTGCTTCCTATCTCGACCACCATTTATGCTACCGAGAAGACCACATACTGCCATCTGAACAGTTTTGGTTTGTTGCAGGGGAAGCTGCAATGAAGTTTCACCTCAAACTCTATAAATTACAAACCGCAAATTGATTAGCAAACTGTCAATTTGTGATACTGAAGAGGAGTTTGGCTGTGTTATTCACCACAGACAGTTTTTTAAAAATAAAATAAGCAACAAACAAACAAACGGGATAAAGGTAACAGTGTATTCTTTGAATTACTCAAGTGCTATTCTCAATTTAATTGGATCTTCTTTGTCATCAGATACTTCAGCTCTGGCTAACATTTCCATTTCTTTTAATCTTGAAGTTAATTCATTCACTTCAGTGATCAGTAGCTTTCTTCCATCAAATTCTGTTCTCCATTCATCTTCTTTCTTCTCTAGTTCACTTGTTAAATGGTCAACCTGTAGATATAATAATAAAAGAACGAAAATTATATATGTATATGACTTACTGTTCGGTTATACTTTTCAGTTTACTAGTGTAATTGTAGAACTTGAGGTCTGTGGTAGGAATGTAATTCCATATTAGATAAGTTTATTTCAAATATCACACTGTGATAATGCAGTATTAACAACTGGATGACAAGGTTTCGAGAATAAATTATTACCACTCTTAATCATATCAATTTTAGTTACATGGTTTCACAATTCATCTTATATCTACTTTCTCTCTATTTTGTCTCTCCAACTTCCCTTTATTGTTTTGTTGCCACTTTCCATATCCCCGGTAGAGGTGGCGTTGCGTTATTTTGACTGCATATGTGAGGTGTTGAATCGATTCACACAGCTTCAGTAATTAACCTCTCTCTCCACCTTTTGTGTGATCATATGCAGGCGAATGCAATGAACTGGCTGAGATATTTTATAGATAGTTGACCTTAGCTGGGTCTATTACCCTAAGTCTAGCTAAGTTTTTATGTTGCAATCTACTAGATTGACCTATGTAATTTACCTCGTTTACAGTCATTACATGGTATTTGATAAATTATATTATTTTTCCGAATTGGATCTATTGGGATCTAATCCGACAAAGTTTATCTCTGAGAGAGTTGGATGGTTGGTTGAAATGGCACACTGACTAATTCCAGCCTCATTGAGCTTTCTCCATGAGGCCTCTGACGTTTCTTCTTTATACGGCAGTACTGCTGAGGCTTTGAATTCAAACTGATTTTCGTCATTTCTATTACTAGTCTTATTTTTCCTATGAGTCGTCATACACTCCTGAATAAATTCTGGTGAGTAGTGTGTTACTCATTAGTAGTAATGTAATAACAGAAGGCAAGGACCAGGCAACAGATCGTTTATTTAGGAAATCAACACATATTTATACATTTTCACGTACATTATTATAGATTATTGTTAGTAGACAAACACAGTCTTCTGATTGGTTGTTTCTCACTGAAAGTTAATCTTTCATCTCTTTGTGGCCGTTTCTTGAAGTTCAGATTATCTGTCTGCAAATTGTATCCGCCTACGCAAATTCTGCTGTGATTGGTTGTCGAGTCAGTCTTTGTTCTAATTTTTGTCATGACCAATATTGGGGACGTACACACTGACGTAAATTACTATCTACCGATTTTGGCTAGCAGCCAGCCCTCACCACACTAATATTTCCTTTATTTGTTTGATTTCATTATTCAGATCTTCTGATTACTAGTTAGGCTCTTGGCCCGATTATACAGACATTTAACTAAACCTGTCTGTCTTAACCGATTCTGAATGGGATGAATTAAAGTCTAAGTATTTATTAGATTGTGTGTCGGTTTCCTGTAAATGCTAGTATCTAACCTACCATCTTGTTTTATTCTACAGTCTAGCATAGCCAACTCATCCTGTTCGTTTTTTAACTCAGAAGTGAATTAGATTCCGTCTACTATTGGGTTTATATGTGAGAAAATATGAGGGATATGTACAGATTTGAACGCAGTGAATGTGTCATCCGTATATCTTTACCATTACCTAGGAGGAGGATTGTCCGTTCTAAGAGCCTAATGTTCCCAACTATCCATAAATATGTCTGCTACTGTGGGGGATATTGGTGATCCCATTGCCACTCCATTCGTTTGTTTATATAGTTTATTTTGAAATTTGAATACAGTGGAAGTTAGACATTACTGAACATCTAATATTATTTCATCAACCGAGGGAGATTCTCAGTCCTACTTTTGAGTTCAGGATAAATGTTCATTTTAGAAGACGTATTCCATCTTTTCTCGGACTCCTTAGCTTAGGATTTAGGTATAAGAATAGAACCTGAGCACTATGGTAGAGTATAATTCCATTATGGAGAAAATTTGATTTTCATAAAGTCTCAGTGTTATAACATTGTAAGAATTTATCAAAATAAAATTTACCCCATAATAGGCTTGAGATATTTTCAACTAGTGGCTCACAAAAGGGATGGAACTCATATCTTCGATTTCAGTGGTAGTCAGCACTGGCAGAATAACACCATATTTATCACACAGCATAGTGAGAGTTAACATGTTAGTCGAGCTAGTGAATCAGCAAGAAATACTTTTCATTTTCTATCTCTCAACTGACTTATCTTTGTTCAATGAACGGCTACTTCTGTTTTTTTTGGGCTGCATACATCTGATCAAATTTGCCAGTAATAGATATACTGGGTTCACTCTTTGATCTTTTGGAGACTCCTTAGTAAAGTGTGCTTGCTCGCCAACATGATCCAATGGTCATTTGGGACTGAACCTGGTGCTTGTCAATTCAGATGTTATCCCGCAAAATGATATATTATTATTCTTTTGTGTTATGGGTGGAACAAAGGGCTTCAACAGCAAATCTCCACTTTGCTTTGTTCTCTGCCATCTCATCCTCACATAATCACCTTCATGTCACCCTCGGATATCCAACTAGTTGCTGGTTTCTCATCTGGGCTTCACTGGAGGGCCTGGCACGAGATGTCATTCAACGGTCTCCTCGGTGTTTGTCCGATCCATCTACATTTTCTTCGGCAAACTCGTTGAACAATAGGTCTTTGATTGGTTCGTTCCCACAGTTACTTGGTAGTAATTTCTCATGGCTATCTGATCTTCACCCTCACCTAGCCTGTTAGTTTGTTAGTTTTTTGGTCGGGAAGAGAAGGAAGGTTAGGTTTGGGACTGGCAAGCCTATCCCAGACAGTCAATCTTATCACTATAGAAACTTCAAAGCAGAAGAAAAATATAAAAAAGAAACTTATTCTTCACTGGAATAGGAGAGTCGAAATGATTTGAGCTGGTGAAAGCCTTCTGGAAGCCAGTCAGCCGATGTGTCTTTAATTGATGAAAGCAAAAGTAAGCATTGGGACGTGGAATGCTCTTACAATGTACGATGCTGGGACGGCTGTTGAGGTAGCCAAAGAAATGAGAAGATATGGCATAGAATCAGCATGATGAGCCATGGAAAAATAGGAAATGGCATCACACTGAAGCCTACACAGTCGTATTTCAATATTATGCTTAGGTATGAAAAGCCAAACTGATAGCAGCTACCACGGTATGGTAGTCGGGCGTGCTTATGGCAGTGACCTAGCGAGCTGGAATGAATGTTCTTGGATGTGTCAGGATTCAAGAAACATTTATTAGATAGTCGAACGAGCCTTTTTATACCTTCTAGGATTTTTTCAGTGATCAGTCCATTGAAGTTGAAGGAACTTCCCAAACAGGTTAAATGGTCAGCTTATTCAACAACTCGAATCTTTATTCTTAAATAACAAGTTAATTCTAACCAATCTTGTAAAATTGTCTTACATGTGATTGAAGCTGTTCCCATGACAGGCATACTCAGGATTCCCTTTAAGCTGTCTAAAAGACTCTGCTTTTTGTCATCATCTTTACCTAGAAGGAAGGACTACGTCATATGAGCATCTGAGATGCATGACAATATCCCATCCCTAAGATGTCAAATACTGCTATGATCATATCTAACAGGACGTCTGCAATGAAAATTAAATTAAATGAAGTCGGCGTCTTGCACATTTCTGATGGACATGACCTAACCGTCTTCCAGGCTTATTAAAACCTTATTATTCTATTCTGTTATTCTAAACCCTCTTTAGCAAGTACATTTTTATTTACTTTTATGAATTGGGGCAAATTGACCTGACGCATTTTTATGCAAAGTTCCGATTGAACAACTCAAATCAGAAATCGAATGACACTAAGTCAGTTCACTTCTAAGAGCAAAGGAATATTACAAACGTGAACAAATAATAATAAATAATTTCTATTATAGATACTGTGAATATCATAACGCAAAGGGGAAATATAGTTCGATAACAGAACATCTGGTGAATTCTGGACATTCAGCCCCATTTGAAAAGTCCTTCAAAGCCGTATTCAAGATCTGATCCAACCTACCAATGGGATTGAGATCAAAACATCTAGGAATAGGTGAACCGCTGGCGATCCAAAAACTCATTCCTACTCAAAATGCACAAAAGAAATACGTTCAACCGTTGTCCTTACGTAGCCATCATGAAAAGTCAGTTTCACCAGTAATGATTATCCTGTTAGCTTTCCTGTCCAACCTTCCCATTTATTTCTGTCATATTTACCTTTTTAAATCCCCATCTGCATTATTAGATTTGATTACTGTTTTTATCTTTTTATGCCCGTACCTCTTACCCATTTCGTTAATACTGCATCCCTATCCCGAAATTATCAAAGCTGACTAGTTTTCTAGTAATTATAATCCTATTCTGTCTTTTCTACCCGATCTTCCTGATTATTACACGTTTTAATTTTCAATTTCACCTTTGGCTTGAAATATTTCTAGAATAGCGCCATTACCTATCTTCTGTTTATTACACTTAGTAATCTTATTAATCTGAACCCTGAACAGAAATAATTCTGGAACTTTCTCACACACATGTAATATAAATACACGAATGTAGATGTTCTGTACATTAACGTGTGTGTTTTAAACGTGATGTGTTCGGTTTTTTACATTTACTGAGCAGAAAAACCTCAATATTATTCAGCATAGTTTATTAACCACAATCATATATCTGTTGAGATTTTAGAACTGCTTAATTTAGTAACACTGCAAACAATCAAGTGTTTTTTTCCGATCTCTCTTAAAAACTACAAAGACGAACTTTTCAGAAAATGTGAATATGAAAGGTCCTCTGAAGTAAAAAAATATTCAGAAGGCCAAATATTGTGTTATATTTATCAAACGGGGGTCAAATCAACAATTCAGGAAGCGTTTTCTTTCTGTTTTTGACAATTCATCTGGATCTACATGTATCCAAGTGAGGTGAGGTGGCCCACTAGCCTAGTGGATAATATTTCTGGGTATGAAACTACAGCTGCTGGTTCTTAGTAGTGACATTAACTCACTGGAGTGCAGTCACATCCAGATGATGAGTTTGACATAAAACCATATGTGCTCTCTGCATTCTTTCGCTGGACCTAATCAACCAAACAGCACTATTTTCACCTCAAGACATCGTTGAAGTGTCCGTTCTGTGGGCCGATATGTCAATACAGACTGTGTGCTTCGGCCCAATAAAAACTAATCAGTGGGAAATGGCCTAATTTGTTGTTTTTGTAAGTTACAGTTGCTTAGCAATTTCCACGGTTCACCTAATTCTAAGAGATTTTGGGCAAGTTGTCTTGAGTGTACACAATGATAGCAATTCTGGGATTGGTATAAAATCACTTTTTTCACGTCGTTAGAACTTCTTTCAACTTTTTCTTGAAATTTAAGAAATTTAATGTAACTTTAAACTAACTTCACATGTCAAAGAAGTTGCATTTTCTTGTAAATGTGTAATTTGTGCTCGAAGTTCTTTTTTCTCCATTTTCAATGCTTTTATATCTGTAAGAGATGGAAAAGAAAATTTGATGGGTTCCTGACAGTACTTGGAACGGTTTAAGTTTAGCTTGACTGATTAGTTTTAAATTATTTTGGGCTAACCCAGAATGCTCTGATAGCAAATTCAGGGAAGCTATGGAAATAAAGACAGGAGTAACACAAGACTGTTTACTTTCACCGATGATATTCCTGATTCTAGTGGACTGGATCTTGGCGTGAACGATGGAAACCGGGAAGACAGGTATAGGTTGGACTGACAAGAAGACTCTAGAGGATCTGGACTTCGCAGACAACTAATGTCTAATGTCACACAAACTAAAATATTTGCAGGTGAAAACCAACCAGTGGGCAGAAGAGGAAGGTAGCGAAGGAGGTAGCGAAGACGGGGCTTCAAGTGAACATAGAGTAGAGAGAAGTGGTGCGGATAACCAACCAATAACAACAAACACCGATCACCATCAACGAGAGAAATTTGAAGGATGTCACCTGTTCACTTATCTGGACAGCATCGTTTCATTTACAAACAACATAGAAGAGGATGTCAAAACCAACCAGCATCGAAAAAGCAAGACGGACCTTCATAACTATGAAATGAATGGGTGAATCTACTGCATTCAACATAAGGAACAAGATCAGACTTTTAACACGAATGTGAGGTTATTTCCTCCACATAGTTCAGAGATTTGGCGCTTCCCGAAGAGCATTTCCAACAGGTTACTTCAGACTTTTATTAACAACTGCCTTCTCTCGATGCTTTTGACTAGATGACCAGGAAAGATTAGTATAGGAAATTCCGGCAATAAAGCAACCAAGAAACGATTTTCTAACAAATATGCAGAGAGGAAATGGAGACAGATTGACATCGGTCCTCGGGCCCTTGAGTAAGATGTGAAAGGGGAATAGCAAGCTGAATGTCCAAGGGTGACATGGAGGGAACCATGTGAGAAGTAGATGAAAGCTTATGAAGATTCGTGGAAACAGCCAAAGGAGATTGCGGAGGACAGAGTGCAGTGGAGGTGTACTCTAGAAGTTCAATAATTTCTTTGGCAGATATGTCTTGCTACACAGACTGGTTAAAACAATAAGCAGTTATACAACCTAGTGAATGCAGCTTGTGCTAATAAAGTGAAGACAAGACACGTATTTCGGTGAAGAGTCTCTTCTCGGAGAATTCATTTTCTTTAGCTGTACAAGCACATTTATATACAAACTTTTCAATGAGTTTCTCAACTGAACTGTGTGTTTTGTTTTCATTAATAAAAGTGTATGTCATGGCTATGACAACTGATCTGGCTGAGGATGGTAAAGTTGCTAAATTTGCACTCTAAAAGTTGAACGAGCTATGATTTGCAAATCTTCAAAATATATGATGTTCACTTCAATTCACAACTCGACAGTCTTGAACTGGTTCCTCTCGTAGTCTTAATCTTAACGGACAAATTACCTCAAACAGAGAGAGAGCGAGAGATAATGAGGGAGGAAAACTGAGCAAATTATTCAAACTTTACAATAGTTTTATAGTTTTAGATCATTCCGGGACAAAAAGAATCCTATTTTGAATTGTTTGAAGTCAAAATGAAACCCAACAGTCTGATATCTTTAAAATTGACTTACTCTTATTTTCACGTCTTCTCATTGCACTAACACGATCTTCACATTCTTGTGAAACTGTCCATATTAACTCCTACGTAAAAGAAAATTGTGAAATCCGCCATTAGGACTCACATGAAAGAGACAAAAAATAAGCTCAAACTAAAATTCTCTTATCAACTTGAAACTTACTCTAACGGGTAATAGTTTCTTCAATTCATTCTGCATATGAACTAGATAAGATTCGTATTCATCTTTAATTCTTGCCAATAATGGACCATAATAAGCACAGGTTTGTATAAAGATTGTAAATATTTCACGATATATCTATGGATAAATAAATACAAGTACAAATAGTAAATAAAGTATTATGACAGTTGATATATTTTGAAGTAAAGTTCATAGGATAATCAATCTAACAACAAGTATAACCTAGACATGATCTTTATCATAAAAAAGAAGTATATAAAGAAAGAATATCTCGCAGTGAATGTTTCACTTAACTTAGGACAGCTTATGAGTTTTTAGCTGGCTCCTTGATCATCCATAAGTTTTCCTCCTCATATCCTCCTCACACGATCTTCTCCATGTCACTCTTGGTCACTCAACTTGTCTTTCCCATTAGAGTTCCACTCAAGAGCTGATCTGACGCGTGACGTCATTCAACAGTCTCCTCACAGTACGTCTTATCCATCTCCATTTTCTTACTCGTATTTGTTTGGTGATACTTTTTTCGCTGGTTCATTACCAAAGTTTTTCTGTTGCTTACCCTTTCTGACTGGCTATTTGATCTTCACTATGGGACAATTTATTATTATTCTCTTTGGTTCCAAGTGTAACATAGGGATTCAAAATACACCTCCACTTTGTTTTATTTTCTGCTGTCCTCTTTAGCTGAGCCCACGATTGCCCATAAACTTTCATATCCTCCTCGTACGATCCTGTCCATGTTACCCTCGATCGATCCACTCATCATTTCCCATTAGGGTTCCACTCCAGCGATGGCCTGTTTGGCGCACGATGTCATTCAATGGTCTCCTTAGAGTGTGTTCAATCTGTCTAGCACTAAGCAAAGCCAGCTGTTAATGCGAATCGACGTTAGCATATTGGAAATGCCTTCTGTGATGCATGTGCAAAATATCTTAGCCATATAGAAGCAGTGATATGACTAGCACTGTGAAATGAAGAAATGAATCTAACATCAATCATTTCCCCAAGATTTATTATGACCATCGTATAAAACATCATTGCCAATTTATTATTGTAGTTATGAAGCTGTGATTCGGAAATCATTTCATAAACTTAAAGCTATCAGTAGAGTAGAAAACAGATAATCGGATAATAAATCCTTCCGATGTCACATTTAACTGTGTCTCAGAATTTACAAGCACTTGAAGAGGCAGCTATCATGGAACAACTTCTATCTGGTTTTCTGAGCATATCTTGAGAAATTGGTGCTTGGAAAGAGGGAAAAATTGACAGACTGCAATTACCAGACATTCATTACGATTAAAGGGGAATTCCGCTTACACTACTAAATGAGTTAAAAAGTTAGAGGGAGAAGAGGATCCCTAGGATTATTGTGGTTTGCCTAAGACGTTTTCAAGACAGCTTAGTCTGTTGCTTATTCTTTCGGTAGCCGCATTTTGATTTTGGTTGCGTCTTCACTTGTGGCTGGATAGAAATACAGTTTAAAATGATCAGTGATCGGGATGAGTTTTAAAGAGAACACTATCAGTAACTGAGTAATTGAGGAGTTCCTAGAATCAGTCTCTGAACTTCAGTGAAATGTATAGGTGGATATCTTATAGGTATTTTTGCACTTACCGTTCAGCCAGCTCGCCACTGTCAACCACACACAATAAGTGCAAATGATGAGTCTATTTTGAGTGCTTAGGTTCTAAATACTGGGATAATTTCAGCAATGCATATAATTGTGACCTAGTGTATTATATAAGACATATAGATAACGTTGATCCAATAGGTATTTAGCTTCAACAGAACAGGTCACAAGCTAATATTTAGGATTAATTAACAAATATGTTGTCTTCGCTCAATACTCAAGATCAGATGGCCAGAAAAGATCAGCAATAGAGATCTCTGGGAGCCAACCAACCAGAAACCGATTGTGAAACAAATAGGCAGGAAGAAATGGAGATAGATTGGCCATACTCTGAGGAAACCATCAAGTGACATCACTAGACAAGCCTTTGAGTGGAACCCGAAAGGGAAGCGGCGAGTTGGTCGTCAGTGCGAGGGTGGGTGACTTGGAGGAGGTCATGTGAAGAGGAGGTGAAAACGTGTAGGCAGACATGGAGCCAGGTGAAGACTCTAGCAGAGAACCGAACGCAATGGAGACGCACGGCTGAAGCCCTATGTTCCTCTAGGAATTAAAGGATAAATTAATAATAATATAATAGATAAAGCAATAAGAAGACGTAATTTGTCTGAATCGTGTAATGTATTTGCGCAACACATTTCGAACAATCTGATCACACACGGACTTGTCATAGGAATATATATGAAATTAATAAAGAGCTAAGAGGTGAGAAAAGTTCATCAGGAGATATAATGTAGTCAGAACACCAAGACTGACTCTCCAACTCGTCCCTAAGAAAGACGTGTACATCAAGCTACCCTATATGGGGCATCAAAGCAGCTTGATATCTAGACAAAGACTGAACGCTGCTGTCAAAAAGACTTTTTATGCAGCTAGTATCATAATAATAGAGAAGGTAAAGCCAATATATCTATCTAAGCCCTTCGAACATGAGAAAAATGACGTCACATCCCACTGTATTTACCAATTTGAATGTACGTGTGGACACACATACATAGGGAGGACTCATCGATCTCTGCAAGTAAGGGCTTCAGAGCATATTCCTAAATGGCTCCAGAAACAAATTGAATCTTCAGAACCCATTAATGGTGAGAACAGAAGACCTAGCTCCTCTATTGTGAAACATATTATAGAAACAGGACATAAAATTGACGTGAACAGATCTTTTAAACCTATCTATAAAACGTGTTTGGGGCGTATCCTAAAGTTTGTGGAAGCCCTAGCTGGCACTTAGGAAGTTTAAACCACCTTCGTGCGTTCAAAAACAATTTGTCATCACATTAAACCTTCCTTGGTAAATTTTGTTTTTATACCATAGCAGATGTACTATTACCTCAGTTATTTGGTTTAGTGGTCTTCATTGTTACTTTGACCTTGAATATGTCCTTTAAACTTGACCTAAGTCTATTTTCTCACCTCTTACCTCTTTATTAATTTCATATATATTCCTATGACAAATCCGTGTGTGATCAGATTGTTCGAAATGTGTTGCGCAAATGCATTACACGATTCAGACAAATTACGTCTTCTTATTGCCTTATCTAAATTCATAAAGGGAACTAAATGTTTTAAATAATATAATAACAAATATTTTATTAAGTATATGAACTCAGATGTCATCAAGAGATTAAAGCTGTAGATTAATTTTCATAAATTATGCCATGAATATATATAGATACTTTTTCTTTTTTACCTGTAATCGTAAAGGATTCGGTTCACCATCTGTAACATGAAATTTTGCCTTCTCCCTGTTGATACGCGCTTCTAACATCTCCAAGAATCTTGGTTTCTTAACTGGTGGTAACCCTAGACAATTGAAACATTAATCAATCAATAGTGGGGAGTATTAAATTTAGATTATAAGTCATCGAATGGAACTGAAATCAATAATTATCGTGTGTCGTCATTCTCATGGTGGAATGCCCACCAACTACCATGTGATCCGGGGTTCAATTTTCAGCCGCCTAATTGACTAGCTGATCTTAAGGCCGGGAAGTTTGGGTGTGGGATTAGTGACCCTACGCGGGACAATCAGTTGGGTAGCTATAGAAATTTTAAAGCGTAGAAGAAATATTAAGTCTATTGTTCTCCGGAATCAGAGAAACGGAATGACGCAGGCTCGTGAAATCTTTTAGGACTGGCTGGCTGGACTTCCGAATATCATTTTCTACTTCATTACATACAGGGAAATGTTGATGTTCTTACAGGTGAACATGATATCCTTATTGAAGAATTGTCACAAGTTAAATTCGATTCTCCATCAGCAAAGAAATATTTACTCAAAGCAGTAAGGCAGATAGAAAAGTGTAAACACCATCCAGCGACTGTTGCTAATTGTGCGTATTCATCCATCCAACCATTGAATCAGAAACTGGATGCTTAACACTGAAAGACTATCCAAAACTTATTTGTATACCTTAACTATTTTTTTTAATTATAGCTTGACTCCATACAGTATTTTTGGTGCAAGTATGGAATTTTCATCATGTAATATCGGTAGCCGAAATTAAGCAGGCCGACCATAGATATCAGGTGTGCATCAGCCGGGGATCGAACTCCGGACCATGTGCATGGTCGGCGAGAGTTCAAACTACTGTGCCAACAAAGCACTAGTCAATATTTTAATGAGGAAACTTATTTTTGCTGCAAAACTTAGAGGATAATAAATTCGAAGCAATTAAGCAAAATGAACATTTTCTCTAACAACATGTTGCACAGATAACAAATTTTCTTCTTTTGAATATAAAAATTGGCCGCGAGAAACTAACTGACCAGTTGAACAGCTTTAAAAATCACTATGCAAGTACTAGTCAGATTTCAGTTGTTGAATGAAATTTGCAAACTGTGCAAACTAATGCGAGAAAAGTTCAGAGAGATTATGAAATGACTCGTAATGAATGTCCTAGCTTGTATGTGACACCTTGTCAGTCATATCTCGAAGTCAATCCCTTTCAGAGTAAACATATGGATCATGTGAAAATTATTGAAGTAGGCCATTTCAGTAATAATTTTAATAATTCCATCACCAATGCTAAATATATTGATAATTTGGAAATAAATACGAATAACGCCGATGAAACTAACAATAATGAATCACTTTGGAGATATGAGAGGTTTCCGAACAGAATTCAGAGTTCATTATCAATAGGCAAGAAGATAACCAACGTTTGTTGGATGTGGTGACTGGACATTTCAATTACTGTCTTTTTTATATGTTCATTACTGTTTCTATATGTAATTTCTTTACTCAGTACTACTCAAGATCAGATGGCCGGTCAGAAAAGATCAGCAACAGGGATCTCTGGCAATGAACGAACCAACCCAGCAGGAACCAATTGAACAACAAATATGCAGGAATAAATGGAGGTGGGTTGGCCATACTCTGAGAAAACAAACCATCAAGTGAGTGAGGTCACATGCCGCGCCATTGTTCGAGTGGAACCCGAATGGGAAGCGGTAAGTTGGTCGTCAGTACGAGAGTGACATGGGGGAGGTCATATGAAGAAGAGATGAAAGCATGTAGGCAGACTTGGAGACAGGTGAAAACGTTAGCAGAGAACCTAAAGCAATGGAGGCGTGCGGCTGAAGCCCTATGTTCCTGTAGGAACTAAAGGAAACAATAATAATATAATTATATATAATTTCTGATTTCTATCACTACGGCATTATAATTCGGTTTACTCGTATTCAGCCAATGGGGATTAAAAATTATAAATCAGTACTACCTGTTCACAATCATTTAAAATGCAAGGAGTTAAAATTGAGGATGGAATCTGCAAGATAAACGAAGCTTCACAAAATTATGAAACTCTTTTCAGTGATTTACTTTTAATTAACTTCAAGTATGGAAAAGTTTCACTTTTTTATTTTGTTTCTTTGCATTTGGAATGAAACATAAATCTTCAAGCTAAAGCTTTAAAGTTTCAGTAGCAATGATGTCTATTTTTTACGGGATAGGGTTTTTAACCTCACGTCCACCCTTCACTCTTTACTTGCAAGCTTACTACCGAATTAGTAAGGTTACAGAGTGTGTTGACCTGCGATCGAACCCCACACCATGTGTGTGTATATGTGGCTGGTAAGCATTCTACGACTAATCCGCCGACGCAGTCGAGTTTAATTATTCCATTATAATTTCTTACGGGATTGTACTCAATAAAAAAAGAAAAATTAGAGATCTCTACTGATAAGCATATAGAAATTAAACTTCCATAATGAAAATTAACATGGAGGCGAAACAAAATGGCACTTACTTGATTGTTCTGGTGTCTGTCGTTGTATATGTCCATCTGATGCAATATGGATTTGATTAGTTGATCTTTCTCTACTACTTGCATGCGCTGGCCATGCGTCTATAACAATATTCCCTTTTGTACCAAAATTTCCCTAAATAAACATTTTGAAAAAATAAGCATAACTCCATCTTTATATTTACTTCGACATTGCTTTGTTCATTAATGTAATGAAAATACAGGATACGTTTATTTCAAATATCACATAGTAAAGATGAAGTATTAGTAACTGGATGAAGGCGTTTCGAGCACAATTTATTGTTACTCATAATCATATCAAGGTACTCACACAACTTTCTAGCTTCGTTTATATAATTCCATTATTTTCCATCGCTTGATTTGATTGGTAGTAGTATTTTCCATATTTCCTGTATGAGTGATGAGTCATTCCTATTGCACGTTTTGAATGTAGACTCGATGAACCAGGATTCAGTAATCAACTTCTATCTCCACCTACTTATAATACTTCTTAGAATTTTAATTCTCTCCCACTCTTTTGTGTGGTTGTGTATTATTGCATGCAGTGCAATTGCTGAGCTTTTTTCTTAATCACTTATCTTCTCGGGGTCAACCATTCTTGCCTTAGCTAAATTTTTATTTTCTGATAATCTCACTACCCTCGCCCGATCTACTAGTTTGACCTATGTAGTTGACTTAACTCACAGTCATTGCAAGGTATTTTGTAAATTATGTTATTTTGTTTAATTGGGTCCATCGGGTCCTTTAGCTTACAGAGCTTGTCCCTGAGTGAGTTTTTAGGTTTAAATGCCACCCTAATTCCTGCTTTATTAAGAATCCTACGCAGGGTTTCGGATGTCCCTTTCTTATATGGTAAAACTGCAAATGCTTTATATTCTCTCTTATTTATGTTCTCATTATTAGTTTCTCCATTATTTTTGCTTTGCTTCTGACTATTTTTGGTCTTCTTAATGAATTTTATAGGATAGTTACTTATTTAACACCAACGCTTCTTCTTTTATCTATTTTATTTCATTGATTAGGTCTATTTTGTCTAATACCATATTCTTCTAATCAAGTTCAATAATAACACTTTCTAAGGTTCGACTCCTAACTCTCCCTTACACACTTCTGACTTTCAAGTTTCAAAAGTTACACAGCATACTATACAATCGACATATACATGAACAACAAATTTGAACTTCCTCAAGTATAAACTTACTTACATTCAAATCATAAAATGATGGAAAGTAATACTGTTCATATTTAGTGTCAAATTTTACTAAATTATTCTTATCACTCTAAAATATGTAGGGGGTTATTCTTTTTAGTAGATAATACAAACCTTTTTTGTTGTGAAACGTTTTCTTGTTTCATCACTGATTAAATAATGACAGAGGTATGCTTTTTTCTAAAAATTTAAAAAGGAAATAAGAGAAAAAAATTAATCGATTGACAGCCAAGAAGTATACATCTGACGTTGGAAAAAACTCAGAAATAATCAGTGTTATATCATATATAGTATAAATTTGGATAGCGTTATTAGAAGACGGAGATTACCTAAAAAATGTGACGTATTTGCGCTATACATTTCGAACAATCTGATCCCTCACACATTTACTTGTCAAGTGATACATATGAAAAAGTTGAATTAAGCAAAGTGACAAAAAAGGATTTAAGAATGATTAACACAACGTTTGGTAATCCAATCAAATAAGGATTACCAAGGTAGGTTAAGAGTAATAATAAACTGTTTTTGAATACGCAGGGGAGGGGGGTTAAGTTTATGAATAGCTATAGACTCAGCGCTTATTGAAATATATATATATATATATACATAACAATCTAATATTAACAATTCAAAGTGTACGGAGGTGGTAGGACACCTAGTGGCATGGTGGCCACATCCCAAACTTGACTGATATAATTCAGTCTGCACCAAACAAATGACTAGACACATTGCACTAGTTACTGACTAACGTCTAATGAGAGTAGACAATACAGTCCTACATGAGGTCAATCACGAGCCAGCCCGAATAGCTCAGTGGTAACGTCTCTGACTGCAGCACTGGGTGACACTGACTCTAATTTCAGAAGGGGCATGAGTTCCTTCAAGGTTGCACATATGCCTTACTGACTGAATGGTGAGTGTCAACAAGCAGGAAACTTAGATCGGGCAAGGATTCCTGCCGATTGCTTCCGACTATCTAACATCGACGTGAAATGAATTTATATAGCTACTTATTATCTTTCATTAGTAGTATGTAATAAACACTATAATTTGAACGCCTACTGAGTCAGTCATTCAGTCAGTCACATGGACTAATCAATAATTTAAAGAGGAAAAATTAATATTCTATTACAGAACACACAAATTATGGATGAGATTTATGAACGAGTAAAGTAAAGCCAAGATGCCTTCTTTAAAAAAATCTGCACGTAAGTAGTATGCACAATTTTGACTTCTTTGATGGTATGCAAAATAATAATAATAATAAAATAATCTTATGAATAATAGTAATAGTTAAATATCCGGGGAGGGAGGGAGGGAGAGTGGTTTTTAAGAGTGATTTTCATTATGGAGTGATAAAAATTAAACTGTGCAGGAATGGGGTGACTTTCAAAATCCAAGTCCATTTATACATTTATGCATAACAAGTGGATTACTGAATTTGCTATTACCACTTCCGTCGAAAAAAAGCAAGACATGACCTCATTACTCTAAAACCAGTATGGAAGTCCATTACACTCAGTATAAGGAACAATAATGCTTCTATATGGCTTAAAGACGAGTGTATGTCACTCAAAGCATTTCTAACTGGCCTCAAATGTTTATCCGCAGCTGCCTTCGCTCTATACTAAAGATCAGATGGCCAGAAAGGATTAAACATAAAAAACTACGAGAATGGACCAACTAAAACTCCACTGCCCGATAAATACTCAGAAGGAAATGAATAACAGTTTCAACGCACTCTGAGGAAGTCATCAAGTGACACCAAGCACCACGCCCTCGAGTGGAACCCAAATGAGAAACAACCAGTTGGGCATCTGAGGATGATACAGAGGAGATCGTATGAGGAGGCTAAGTAATTCTGCAGAGAACAGGGTGTAATGGAGGTATGCCGTTGAAGCTTGATACTCTATTTGGAACCCAAGCGTATAATAGGTCTAATGTTGCTACTCAGTAACTGGTAGACTAAGACAACGAAGACGATAAATAAATATACATTATTGAAGCTTTAGAGGATCTGAAAGATGGAAAGCATTGAATGCAAATTCACAGTTGTGAATGGCTTTCAGCCGTCTCATCAGGTATCTCCAACAAATGATTTTTCGCATTCAGAGGACCTGATTCAATTAATATGAGCATTTCTATTTGGATCACAGCAACTGGATTTGACTTGATCTACTGAGGCCATGTTTTATTCTGACCACAGATGACTCCTTTCAGATCTGTTGTTACTTATCAAGGAAGATACAGACCCACTGAGAGTAGTTCATGTCTTTTGCAGTTCAGTCGACAAAAGTGCTGCAGTTTCATTTACGCAGTACGTTTTCGGGTGTTAGTATTTAGGGATTCAACTGGTTCTAAGTCTGGTCATAGATTGTTATCATTTAAAAAAGCATAAAAAACCGGAATGAACTACTGGATAGCTGTTTTACCGTCTTAGTTTTAGAATCTTCACTAGTATGCACCTATAACCTGGCTGCCAGTGATCCAACTCGTGACCTCCAGGTTACGAGACGAGCTTGTTGACCATTCAGGTGCTGGTACAAAGTTCAGTGGCCAGAGTTCTAATTTCTATCTATACCATATATACATAAGATTGTTTTGTCAATGTTTTTCCCTCACCTTCTCTTTCATATAGCCAGTAAATCTCAGTTGACATCATCTATGACAAATGAAACGACAACAGGAGCAGGAACAATGACAACAACAACAATAACACCAGCATCAGCACCAGCACCGGCACCAGCCGCATCATCTGGTGGAACTTGTAAATTTAGAAAATTTAATCAATATGGCCTGTGTGAAGAGTTAAATGCTACAACACGTAATTCTATTCTAAGTTTATTAAAACAAGCTGAAAAGATTAAAAATATTCATTTTAATCGTACTGAATTAAGTATCCTATTGCATATGTGTGCTGAGATTACAGATCGTCAGATAAGAGATTTAACTGTTGATGAATTGAAATCATTTTTATACGCTACACTGGATATTACAAATCCCTTCAGTTTAGATGGTATTTGTCGTGCAGCAATGAATAGTACACGTAGTTCTGGTGTTAAAAAGACAATTACACCAATGAAATTTCTTGAAATATTATCTATCCTATTGAGAGGAAATTTAACAGAACGTGCTGAACTGGCATTTCATATTATGGATCTAGACTGTGATGGATTAATACGACGTAATATGGAAGTGAGAAGATTGTTGCATGATACATTCGATGTATCAGTGGCAGCACAAAATCCTGAAATTGATCCAGATGAACCAGTACGTGATACAATTAATTATCTGTGTGAGAAATTACAATGCACACTAACACAACCTGTATCAATTGATAAGTTTAAAGCATTAGCACAAGAAGAACCATGGATTATTGAAAGTCTAGTCCCGTGTATCCCATCAGAAATGACAAATCTTGTCTTTCAAACAGTATTTAGTACTCAAGTAAAATTACCTTCACTGGAATTATCACCACACGTAGCTCAAAAGAAGCAATAATTAGGTTAATTAATTAATTGATTAACCTGTAAGAATAGTCTTACCCAAATAACAAGGAGTTTCGATAGACAAGAAGAAAAAGAATCCTAATGAAATTTTTTGATTTAGTTCAGTTTTAAGCTAATTTACTTTCATTTAGACAAAGCATCCTGGGTTTTTGTTATAAATTACGCGTCAAACTGTGAATTGAATGTAAAATCCAAATTATCGTTAATCACTGTGTCATAAAACGGTAGTAAATACCAAAAGGTGAATACAGAATGCATGATTCCCCTTGTTTTGGACCTGTTAGCTCAGTTGGCCTCCATCTCATTAAGTGATCATGTTTCCACTGAAACCCAGACTCAGCATACATTATTTCAAACGTTAATGCATGCGTTAATGCGTACTGGACTACCGAACAGGCACGAGCACATTGTGTACTAACACTAACAACCAGAATAACTGGAAAGTTTGACGAAATTACTGGTAAATGAAGAGAAAAATGTAAGGAGATCTTAAAAGATAGTCCGATAAATGAAGTTTGTATTGCAAAATATGTATGCTATTATTATTATTCTCTTGAGTTCCGAGTGAGACATAGGGCTTCAACAACACACCTCCACTCCCTCATATCTTCTGCTGTCCTCTTCAGCAGGGTCCAAGACTGATCATAATATCTCATCTACTTCTTCTCGCCACACGATCTCCTCCATGTCACCATCGCACTGAAAACCCACTCGTCGCTTCCCATTCGGATTCCACTTGAGCAGTGGTCTCCACTGCGTGCGATGTCATTCGACAGTTTCCTCAGTGTATGCTCAATCCATCTCCATCTCCTACACGTTTGTGGAGCGATCGGCTCTTCGTTGCTTTGTTGCTAGTCAGAGTTTCTTGATATTTATTCTTTCTGGCTGGCCAGCCAACCATTCGATCTTCAGTATGGAGCCAGTGAAGGTGGCGGGTGTTGATAAAAGTCTGTAACTTGTTGGAAATCCTCTTCGTGGAGCGCACGCCAAGTTTCTGATCTGTACAGAAGAACTGATTGACTTCACATTCGTGTTGAATAGAATCCGAATCTTGTTGTTTATGCAGGCTGAGTGTAGAAGATTTCCAAACTAGTTTCAGGTTGATGAAGGTGTATCTTGCCTTTCCGATTCTGTCTAGCTGGCTTTGACATCTTCATCCGTTCCGACTGCCTGTATATGAAACGATGCTTCCTAGACAAGTGAAGGATGTAACCTCTGTTAAATCTCTCCCCTTGATGGTGATTGGTACTGGTTGTTGTTGGTGGTGGTGCGTGGTTGGTTATCACCATCACCTCCGTCTTCTCTGTGTTCACCTGCAGTCCTGTTTTCGCTGAGGGTGTCTTCAGCCAGTTTGTTAGTTTTCGCTTGCAAGTTTTCGAGTTTGTGTGACATTAGACATATTTCATCATCTGCAAAATGCAGATATTTTAGAGTCTTTTCATTGGTGGTTCAGCGTATTCCTAACTCCTCGCTCCCCACATTCTGACACATAATCCGGTCCACCACAACTAAGAATATCATCGGTGATAATAGACAGACATACGTATAAGTTTAATTTTTGGATGAATAAGATGATTAGTCTCTTTTTACAAATGTAAATTACCTTCAGCTGGGATAATATCGATAAAAAGTGTAAAGTAAAGGGAAAAAGTCATTCGAATAGGTTGTTAAGCTGTACCAACTGAGATGATCAAGGCATGTGTTTCGCATACTAAGCCACTGTCTAACTCGTCAAGCAATTTTAGCTGACATAAAATAACGTGAGAAAAGAGTCGTTGGCGGTTAAATCAAAACATCGAGTAATTTCATAAGGCACTTGACTGCTGTTTTGAGCTACTTACTGATATGTACACTGCCTGCCTGAGGTCGTCAAGACAATAAGAACCGGTGGTTGAAGACTGTCAGTGATACGGCTCAAAATAGCTCCCAGTGCCACAGATACATTCACACACTTTGTTTTCATAGATACATGAGAGCACTATTATCCTCCATGTGACGATTCTTTCTTCCACACGATTCTTTTTGTTGTAGTTTGTTTGCATTTCTTTTCCTTATTTTTCCACGCCTGTGTCCTTTCAGAAAGTGTGATAATCTGAACTACCGGCGTCGGTGGCATAGCGGTTAGGACGCTCGCCGACCATGCACATGGTCCGGGGTTCGATCCCCGGCCGACGCACTCCTTTACCTTGCTAAGCCAGAAATAATGCTGGTGAAGAGGAAAAGTTGGGCATGAGGCTAGCAACCCCATCCTGTGAAATAAAGGCTGCTACCGAAACTTCAAGCCACTAGCTTGAAGCCCTATATTCCACTGGGGAACGTGAAGGAAAAAAACCGCTGTTCTGTGTGAAGTTCCGCATTGAAAATTCAGTTCATTTCATCTATGAAAGACAGTTTGATATCAAATTACTAATCATGCAAAACAGATGCCGAATTAGGCATCACTTTTCTACCACGTAACTTAGTGGTTCCCAATTAGTCGTAATGCATTAACACATAAAACAGGCAAGGGATCATATCTGTTTACCTGTTAATGGTACAGTCACTAAAACGTCTTAATAAAAAAGAAATACAGCAGAAGACACTGTGCAACAGATAAATCTTGAGTAGTAAATTAAGTGAGTACGGAAAGAGACTCTTTTCAGTGATTTTATTTGCTTAAGCTGTACTATCGCATTTCTGTACAAATTTTTCGTCAAAATAGGATCAGATGAATTTTCATAAGCATAGTTGCTAATCCATTGAGGTTTCCCCGAGTGGGTTTGTATAAAATCCCCATCGGAACCACAATGTTAGAATGGTTGCCGACAACGCATGTGGTCTGGGGTTCGATCTCCGGCCGACGCACTCCTATACCTCACTAAGCCAGTAATAAGACTGGTAAAGAGGGGAGGTTGGGCATGAGGCTACCAATCCCATCCCGTAAAAATAAATACCACTGCTACCGAAACTTCAAGTCTCTAGTTTGAAGCCCTGTGTTCCACTGAGAAAGTAAAGGAATAAAAAAAATAGTTGCATTAGAAAAGTTGTATAAGGGTGATACAGTTAAGTAATCAGATAAATAATCTAATAAATGGATAGTAATCAATACAAACCTAGAAACAAAGGAAATGAGATGTACAATTATATTCTGTCATAGTAACGAAACCCTACACCTTTATTACGTCAAAGTTAGAAAGCGTGAAAAAAAAACAAATTGGTTGGAAACAACAGGGGTATTACCACGATATCTAAGGTGGTTAAAGAATTCTCTTTTGTATACAGAGCTTTTATTTGATCATAGAATAATTTTATTCTATAAAACACGGACACACACAATGTTATAGTATTACTTTCAGATGACATTTCGAGCACAATTTATTGTTTTTACGAGTTGATCACAGATTGATATCAGTTAGAGAACCATTGAAAACTGGCAAGGAGTACTGGACAGCCGCTTCATCCTAGTTTGGGAATCATCAGCAGTACACGCCCACCACCAGGGTTCGAACCCAGGACCTTCCGGTTACAAGGCAAGCTGGCTTGTTTGCTATTCAGTCACTGGGACCCGATTCAATGGCCAGCTCATGAATTCTAACTTCTACCAATTCGTGATTTAGCGCGACCACCAACCAATGTCATCGGTGGGACATCCATCCTCACACTTGACTGCATGGACCTCACTGGTTACGACTTCTCACTAGATCTCCAAAACTCCGTCCTGTAGCCAGTCACTAGCGAGCATCAGATTAATTTTCAAGAGTTGGTTTGTAAGGATTCATGGACTGGCCATTGATTCAGGTCCCAGTGGCTAAATGATATACGAGGCAGCCTGCCTTGTAACCGGAAAGTCCTGGGTTCTAACACTGGTGGTGGGTGTGTACTGCCTATGATTCCCAGACGGGGATGAAACAGCTGTCCAGTATTCAGTGCTGGTTTTCAATGGTTCTGTAACTGATATCAGTCCGTCGTCATACTCTTATAAACAAATCTAATCCTTACAAACCAACAATAGAAAACATAATTTATTGATTATAAATAATCATAACATGGTGCTCACACTAATCAAGGAGACAAACTAAACAAAGAACATCTGTTTGTTGTAAAAGAGACGAACACAAATGTTGGAACTTGTTTGCCACACTTGAGACTTCTGAGACCAGGCAATTATATAACACTGCTAGAAATAAAGCTATTGCAGAAATCCGCAAATCAAGGATGAAATTCGAAGCACACCTGGCTCAAAATGCAAAGGCACAACCTAAGAAAATTTTCTCATACATGAACTTCAGGAATAAAACACCCAATGGTGTCCCAAACCTGACTATTGACAATGATACAATCGAAGAAGATCAAGAAAAAGCAGAAGCAATGGCAAACTACTTCTCCCAAGTCTTCACTCAGGAGTCGTCACTGCCTACCGGATCAGCTCTGGCTGCATCAGAAGAACATGGGATAGATTCCGTTGACATCGACCAAGGCATCGTGCTCAACTGCCTAAGGAAACTAGATGCAGGGAAATCAATGGGTCCTGATAATCTTCACCCAAGGCTTCTCAAGGAGTTATCAGCACACATAGCCGGCACTTTGACTACGATCTTCAAGCTTTCTCTCCAAAATGGAGTGTTACCGCGTGACTGGAAAGACGCCATAGTAACCCCCATCCACAAAGGAGGATCAAGGCAAAGCCCTTCAAATTACAGGCCTATCAGTCTCACCAGCACTTTAATAAAGACACTGGAGGGAATCATCAAGAAAAGCATAATGGCATATCTAGAAAATAGAAGCTTATTATCAAGAGCACAGCATGGCTTCCGAAGGAACCTCTCATGCCTGTCAAATCTTCTCACTGCAAGAGAAAGCTGGGTTAAATCCAGGGACAACAGAAGACCCGTTGACGTCGTCTTCATAGACTTCAGCAAAGCCTTTGATAAAGTACCTCACAAAAGACTACTCATGAAGTTGGAAAGTCTTGGTATCAAAGGCAGCTTACTAAATTGGCTCAGGGAATTCCTCATAGATAGGAGGCAGAGGGTTAGGATCAACTCGAAACTCTCCTCTTGGACAGCAGTACGCAGCGGAGTGCCACAAGGCACGGTACTTGGACCTCTCCTATTTATTTTGTATATCAATGAGTTATCTCTGCTCACCGATTCCCCTATGGTCCTATACGCAGATGACTTAAAAATTTGGAGAGAGCTGAAGGGCAACAGTGACACGTCCACGTTGCAAGAGGACCTCAACAAATTGTCAGAGTGGTCCATAGAATGGATGCTCCCGATAAACGTGACAAAATGTGCAACCATGCGCATTGGACAAGCAAGCTCGAGCTCTTATGAACTAGAGGGAATTACACTTCCATCAGTTCAGACTTACTTGGACTTAGGTGTCATAGTTAGCCACGACTTAAAAACTACAGCACACTGTCGCGCGGTGGCTGCACGTAGTTTCAGGTCATTATGGGCAATTCGTAGAGCCTTCACTAGAATCACCAGAGATATGTTCACCTCCTTATATACATCCCTGGTGAGGTCAAGACTGGAAAACTGCATCCAGGCCGCCAGCCCTTGTCTAAAAGGGGACTCACACATTCTAGAAAGGGTTCAAAGGAAAGCAACACGTATGATTCATGGCATGACTAACTTATCATACGAGGAAAGACTAGACAGTTTAAATCTCTTCTCCTTGTCATACCGTAGGCAGAGAGGAGATTTAATCACAATGTTTAAAATTCTAAATAATGACTACGGACCTGACCTATTTTCTCTTTCCCTTCCCACCAGGTCAGAACACCTTAGAGGACATAGCAGGAGAGTTCAAAAGCCAAGAAGAAATCATATTGCTGTTGAGTACTGGTTCTCACACCGAGTCATAAACTCTTGGAACCGACTCCCAGAAGAAGTGGTGTCTGCAACCTCAGTTGATTCGTTCAAGAAGGGTTTGGACAACCACAGAATTTTACTAGAAAAGGATTAACATAGGCTCCAAGCCTTCTATCCTCAAACAATAAATCTGAATCTGAATCTGAAATCTGAAGAGTGAAAAGTCCAAATTTACCCACTTTAACCATGTTAAGACCAAAAACAGCCAGACTTTTCCAATTTGTCCCACTTTCGAATGAAAACTGCCCACATTTTTAGACACACATCCCAGGTCTGGAAACAATTCTCCGACTATAGTCGCCTTAAGGCTACTGGCTTACAAACGAAACTTAAATCATCAAAACTAACGCAGAAAAAGACAGAGAGCTCAGTGATAATGCATACAGTGTTAGAGATTACTCCAATGTACGACCCGTGAGCTTTTATTAACTCAGTAATTTCTTAACACTCGTCGCGAGGCGAAAATATCCTAAGTTAATTCCTCAGAAATTCTAAAAAGAAAATGGTATAAAAAGTTTAAAGGACGTTAAAGAAGGTAAAACTGTCGCAATACAAATGCCATATAACAAATAACTCAGTATTTACTTGATTTTCTACATCCATTGCAAAACGCGCAGTTATGGAATCATTAATTAAATTGACCTCATTTTTATTTCTATTGTATATCTCATGTGTTCAATGAGCTTTCTACTTGTAGCGATATGCACATTCATTTCTCAGCGCCCAATTTTCATCAGATCATAATGAAGGAAAAATCATCACCTACTAGTTATAGTTATGTTTAGTGCTTCAGTATATCGGAAGAGACGTTATTTGTAGACGGAGTACGCAGTAGATATATTATGGACAACTGTCTTGTCCATTAACATCCAGATTTCTCGGGAAAACAAAAGCGGACATGAAAAAGTAAGGAAAAATAAACAACAGTTAGAAGGAAAGTTACAGCTGAAAAGAGGAGGCAAAAGTTATTGACAGATCATAATGAAGTATCATGTAGGACGAGAGGCATATAGCCTAACCTCCATTTGCTTCCTATGGGTACAAGCTAGCATTAAAAGTATGCCGCTCAGCGTTCCGCTTTTTCTCTATTTATCACTATCTGCTCAGATTAGTTTTTGGGGTATTGAATTTTCGGAAAAAACACCCACAGATACCGTAAGTCGCTATGAGATATTCACTTTGCCATGTAATAGCCCACAATGTATCAACACACAATAAGGGAAGAAGGGACATATGGGCAGGACAATGAGAGCTCGTTTCGTCCTGCAAAGTTGTAAGTTCTTTCTTTGCTCAAGCATGAAACATGACAATATGCCATCTGTGACTCTGAAAATTCATGATTTCTGGAATAATTTAGCACGAGATATTTTATGATGACTACACCTGAAACGAAATAGAGCTGAAAATTTTAGGCATTTTGTCATCGAAGAATCATTGCCACGGTTAACTTCTGAACACTACATACACTGAATGCAGCTCCTTTTCTTTATACAGAAACAGATTAAGGCCACTGTGAATGCACCAGTGTTGGAGCTAAATTTCTTTATATTATCCTTTTTACCAGAAGTACAGTGCTACCCAATTAAGTAAAAGAGAAAACTTTCTGTAGATTCATCTCATTGATGAGTTCCAGCGCTTGTTATCATTGGTTGATTGTCTTCGATAAATATAGCTTCCCTGAGTTCGCCTGAACTTTTGTTTACTGTAATTATTTTGTCAACCTATCTGCTTTCGCTGGTAGATACGACGTTTCTGCGAAATGAGAAACAAGTCACCAGCGCAATGTAGATTTTCTGTGCCGTTTTCTTCAGCCCGACACAGACATGACTTCTCACTCTCCACAGCCTGCCTTATAATCAAGACCGTCAGAATGATCATCTCTGATAACAGACAGCTATGTAATTCTATTATCTGTGCTTCAAAAGCTTCAGTCAGCTTTCCTTTGTGTGTCAATTGAAATGTGACCTGACAATACAGCTGTTGAAAGAGGATCATAAATTTTCGCAGCACTGCACTCTTCAGCATTGAAACTGTTGCCAGGTGGCTTCATAGTCGATTCTGTAGAGGACGTTTTTGAAGCTGGTGAAGCTGAGATATGGTGTTGATTGCAAATTTAAGCTTCAGTCTGTGATGTTACATGGTGTTGCAAGTTGGTCCGCTCATAACTTGCCATTCCTGCACCTATCCTCTTATGTATCCTTTAGTCTCTTCACTGCGGTGCGGCTAAATATTTTCTCTGTAGATAGGAACGAGTTTCCACTCCAATTCTTGCTTAGGCTTAACTGGCATTTTGACTAGGTCTCCTCAAATATGATTAATAATAATAATAATAATGTATTTCATATAAATTTACAAATTTACATGAAAATGCATGCCATTTTTACAGGCACGATCAAGTATGATATAATATCAAATCGTAGATTGTCTACAAGTTAATCGTATTTCAACTGTTAAATATTCGATACATATAATACACTCATTTTCTGAATTAGGCCGTATAGTTATTGAATTGTACAGTTGTCCTCCAGGTTGAGCGGGAAAATCGACTTCGTTCCGTTTTCATCCCGTGGTTGTAGGCATACGATAACCAACCAATATTGAGGTAAGTACACCTTTTACAAGGGATTGGAGTCTGTTTTAGAAAAATTAAAGTGCTGAGGTGAATCATTAAATTGTAATGAAATAGGTAAGTGCAAGTATCATTAATAAATGCATTAATAAAGGAAACACCCTAGGGTAACAACATTCATTTGCAATGTATAATGCTACAGATATATCACAAACTATCATGATATCCACTTTTGGTTTTAATACAATTATCCTCATGCCAGTTGTTTTTATTTTATACCTTTTTGTGCATTTAGTACACAACCGTACCCTTCAGAGAGTAGGAGTATAATAAGTAATGAAGAGCTATACGATGTTAAGTTTAATGGAGTAAAATGAGGATCAAGTAAAGACGTTGTCAGAAAATAAATGAGATAAGACATTGTGGAGTGGTATGAAAAGATCTGACGATAGACAGCAAGTTAATTTATAAGATGCCCCATAAATCTGAGCAGATCCCACATGGTCGCATCTCAACAATAGGCTGGGTGAATGGTATATATTTAAAGGTAGAAGCATGATCTGTCAAGGCGTTCATTGTTATCTTTTTCAAGATAAAGATTTAAGCCCTCATAAAAACCAGAAATATCTCGAGCCTTCAAATTTTTTAATGCTGTTCCTGCAGAATGGGGCGATTCACCTTAGTGTCCACCACCATATCTACTGATCAGCTAACTCCACCCTCCCACCTTTTTTGATGTTAGGCTCTGAGACTATGATTATTATGGTTACCGCATATATATTGTTTGGTACCAGACATGTTCGTACCCCATATTCCATCTCCCTAGCTTTCTTAATGAGTGCTTCCAATAGGTCCCCGCGTACATCTTTATGAACATATTATATATGTATGCATACACAAAATAAGCCAGGTAGGTTTAGGTAAACCACTTCTGTCATGGTTGAAGGACTACCTAACTGAAAGGCAATTTTGCACCAAGGTCAATCGAGTCCGATCATCTTGACACAGTTCGTCATCAAGAGTGTCGCAGGGTTCTATCCTAGGACCACTGATGTTTTTGATTTTTATCAATGATCTACCATGCCGTCTAAGCTGCCCGACTCTTCTATCCGCTGATGACGTGAAGATATGGAGGGCGATAAAGTGTCAGGAGGGCTCAGATAGACTGCAGGCAGATCTAAGGCTTCTGGAAGACTGGGCGGTGGCCAGTGGCATGACTTTCAACCTGAAAAAGTGCAAAGTAGTGAAGTTACGCACCTGTAGACTGCAGAATGCAAGTTACACCCTGTGCAATGAAAGCTTGTCCTGCTCAACGTCGGAACGTGACTTAGGTCTAGTTCTAACGGAGAAAATGGACACAAGCGTGAATTACACGGGGGATGTAGCGAGGGCATATGCGGTCATACACTTTACACATAGACAATTAGGTGCACTCACTCCTGAGCTCTTTCTAAGGTTGTATAAAACATACGTCAGACCGCATCTTGAAGTGCATAATATCATTGCACCCCCACTGCTTAAAAGAGACACCAACCTCTTGGAAAGAGTCCAACGACGGGCAACAAAAGGAGTGGCTGGTCTCCGAAATAAACCATATGATGAAAGACTGAAGAAATTAGGCCTATTCACACTTAGTCACCGTCGTCTTAGGGGGGATTTAATTGCTGCCTACAAAATAACAAATGATCAGAATCACCCAAACAAAAGTGTTCTGCCATTGAGTAGGTATAGGCTTCCTCGTGGAAATCCTAGAAGGATAGCTCATCAGAGGGCAAGGACCCAGGTGCGCTCCCACTTCTTTTCCCTGCGGGTTTGCCGTCCCTGGAATTCCTTACCGGCAGATGTAGCTATGGCGCCATCTGTGGACGCCTTTAAGCGAAGGCTGGACAACCATGTAGCGACACAAGGACTTCATCCAAATGGCCTATCCCCTTAAAATCGCATACACCATTCAAAGGTAGACAGTTAAACTGGTCGTTTTACTTCTTTACATTCTCTTCAGTCTTACTCTCCTGACAGCTTTAACTACACCTATTATTATTATCATTATTGCTGGTATATATATACCGGTTGACTGACTGTTGTTACGTTTTCTTATTCTTTCTCTGTCTGTTAGTCTGAATACCTTCACTAATTATATCTATTATTATTATCTCTTTTCTATTGAAGATGATACCGAAGGACCAACTGGTGAAAGGATCAACTCCATTCACAGTAGTAACAGTCTTAACACACTTCATACTACAAACCAAATATAATTAATCCCTGTACTTCTCCTTTTGGAGTCAACCAAAGCTACTGCAGTCGAGTGGCGGGACGAGCTACTCAAAAGTTTACCGAAGATCAGGAACCTCTACCTCACAATCAAGAGGCGAGCACAAAGAAATCAAATTGGTTTATACTAGCTCGTAAAAACGATATTGAATATTGAACCCAGGATAATTAATTTCAGATTTGGCTTATATATCACTATCATGAATTTTTCAACGGCCATTGAGATTAACAGCTTCGTGTAGCTTTCTTTTAGATCAGAAACTGAAATTGACAGTCTCACATTTGCACGGATGTAATGTAACGCCATTTACTGACTCCTGAAATAAAGCTGTTCATCTTAGTGCAGTCTAGCTGGAGCTAATAGATATTTAAATAGTTAGATCGTCCGTACACTTAACAGAGTTCATTTAGTCATCGTGGTGAGGCAGTCCATGCAAGAAGAAATAAAACAAAAAAGGAGCAAGAACAGAGCCCTGAGGGATGCCAGCCTCAATAAGCAGCGAAGTGGACGACTTCCCTTGACATACAGTGTGCTGCTTTCTTCCTGAGAAATAAGAAGGTGCAATTTTAGTGGCATGACATTTCTGGAAAAATATTCATTAAATATGTCCAAGAGAGGATAACACAGCATATCTGCACACTTTTTAAGAATAAGGCTAGTCAAACCATCTGAACCTAGGCTAAAAGAAGGGTTCAGCGACTGGAGACATTTTAGAACGTCATTTGTATTGAAATCAGGGAAGCAGGTTTATTAACACTTGTAACTCTAGAAAGTTTGGCATTTGTGGGAGAATA